AGTGTGGGTACTTATGTACGCAAGTAGGATATTTATATATATAGATACTTCTTTAGCGTAACAAAACAAAAAAACTTGAGAGATAATTACCCACTGAAGTTGTCGCTTTTAGGTGTCAGTGTGCGCGTGTATCTAAACAACTTCATGGTGTCGTTTTTAGGTGTCGGTGTGCGCGCGCAAAATTCACTCTCATAATTTTTTCTATACGCCCCAAAAAAAAAGTATAACTTCAAAACTGCGCTTGCCAAACCGCCTGACAAGCGTAGCATTTTTGGCAAATATGAGACACTTGCTTGTCACTCCCATGACTGAATTGACACTGGCAGAATTCTATCAAGAGAAGCCATAATATAAAAAAAGAAAAAGAAGAAGAAAGTTTGGAGAAGGCTTATATTCAGCGATGGACTTTTAATAGACTGTGATATTTCAATGAATGATTTATCTATATTGTAAGTTATGTTTTGTGTTCTAGGTTGTCCTACAAAGCTCTCCAAGGGGCCATTATGATCACTTTCTACCGTGACGAGCCCAGGTTCTCCCAACCTCACCAGCTGCTCACTCTGCTTATGGATATAGACAGCCTCATCACTAAATGGCGGTGTAAGTTTTTGCGTTTGTCTCGCGATGTGGTGATAAGAACCTGCCTGGGCTAATGATCACAATAGGCTAATGTGGCGCGGTTTGTAATGTCGGAAGGTGTTGAATGAAAAAGGAGACGCATTTCTCAGTTCAAAACTTTAATTATACTACAGTTTCCTCTGCCTTAACACTAATATATATCGTCGTCGGGGCTACACTACAGGGTCCTAGGTTCGATTACAATTTGGTGCCAACTCTTGAAGAAATTTTGACACTGCATTGAATGTCAGTCCAATGCGGTGCCAATATTTCTTAAATTCGGAAATTCGAATAAAAATCGAAACATAAGTAGGTTTGGAAGAGTGTATTTGAACTCTGAGAGATTAAAAGCCTTTTCGTTTGAAACAACTTTATTCCTGCCTTCCCTAGTGTCCTCTCTATCACTTTAAATAAAAGTGACTGTCACACCACGAGACGACATTTAAATTGAGTAGCATTTAAGTATTAGGCCATAAGAGTCTCAGTGTTTGAAACAATTTATTACAGTCTTCCTCAATGAGTATGGAACTAAACTGAGAGTGGAACACAAAGTGAGTAGATTTGGACGAACGTGTTGTGAGTTTGATAGTTTGAGAGCCTTTTAGAACCTTTGTACTTTAACAACTTTATTCCTGTCCGCCACTGTATGTATTCATCACAATGTTCATATTCTCGATACCTCTCCTTTCTGAGAGAGTTACTAAAGGAGGTTTTCCGCTGTACAGTTGAAGACGGTTTTGGCTTAAAATATTTTATGTCTAACGGTGCGTACACTTTATATAACATAACATATTATAAAACATGTCATGTTATATAATATGTGAATGTTATATTATATAACATGACACAAATGTTATATAACTAGAGAGTATTTTTCTCTAGTCAATAAACTATGTTTGTTTGGGACGAACCCAGTATCTATGTTTTTTTCTTTTGTTATTTGAAAGTAAAAGAATTGCTGCAGCAGCTAGTAAAACGTCTTCTCGTGCCGACATTGTAAAAAGCACTGCAGAACGACAAACGACAATGTCATATAACATTGTTATATTGCATTGTTATTCTAATGTGTACAGTATTGTTATATGTTGCAATGTTGAAAAACAATGTAACGTAATGTGGACGTGTTATAAAACAATAGTTACACATGTTACTTAATCTGTACGCACCCTTAGACGTTTGGGTTTCTCATAATGTTTTTTTTTACCGTTAATCAGGTAGTAAATCAGCACTAACACAAAACGCGCATCTTTTATTTAATAAAATATTGTTACCAACATACTGAGATTTTTCACTTATGTGCTGCACGATCCAGAAGAAATTCCTGGTTTAAGAGCACCGTTTTAAAAAAATACGAATAATATTTGTCCAGATAACCACGTGATAATGGTGCAAAGGATGATCGGCTCGCAGCAGCTTGGCACTGGCGGTTCATCGGGCTACCAATATCTTCGCTCTACGCTCAGGTAAGACAGGAAACTGATTTCATTCGGTGACAACCGCCTGGCTTGATGCTCCTCTAAGACTTTTTTATAGAAGCAAGGGTAACAAACGAGCACACAGTCCATCTAACGGTAAGTGGATTCTATGTCCCGTAGACCACCTATAAACCCATTTTTTACGTGGTAGAGCCACGCTGCATTTACATTATGCTTGTAACACGAATGGGTCGGCTCTAAGGAAGGACCACGCTCTCACAGAATACCAGCGTAAAATAGCAGCTTAACACTGCTGTGTTTCGTATGGTAAGTGTAAAGTACTGGAGACCCTTTTTACTGGAAACGAGGCATTCCATCTGAGTCTTCATGGTTGTCAACGTATCTGCATTTTAATTCTTAATCGACGATAATTGTGTCTATGAGCCACAGCGTTCACTTACCAATAGGTGGACTGTGTGCTCGTTTGTCATTCTCATTCTAAAAAAGTAGACACATCTATCCTCGATTAGGAATCAAAATGCAGATGCGTTGTCACCCCTAAGGACTGAAATAGAATGCCTCCTTACCAGTTATAATGGTCTCTATTTCTGGTCACTCACCAGCTCATCACATGAAGCAAAGCGGCCATGTCCTGCTATTTAAGACTGTTTATTATTTAATTCTGTGGAAGTGTGTTACTTCTCCGATCTAATTTGCCCATTCCTGCTGCAGCTATAATGAAGGCGTGACTGTACTATACCTATGTATAAGTAATTTGTTACTTACTAGCGATTCGCCGTAATAGTAAGCCCTTATAGTCTATCAAAGTCTACTGTTGAACATATGCCTCCCCAATAGATCACCTCATACTATGTAATAGGTGGATATTAGTTTTCCACAATTTCCACGCTTGGCTGGCGTTTTCTTTTTTCTTTTTTTTTCTTTTTTAGTCGCTATTAGGAATGCTACCCATCTCTGGTTTGTTTCCCTCTGACGACTCTTACGACACCCACGGGACGATATGGGCTAGTGGATATTCTAACACCGTCACCACTCGATGCTGTAGCTCATGCACCTGCAATTAATGGATCTACAGCGAACTGTAGACATCTGTGAAGAACTACATCTTAGTCCTCAGGGTTGACAACTAAGAAACAGAACGCAAAGCACTAGAATAGGCAATTATGTCAGTAATGACCTTCAAATAACCTTTGGGGTGCCTCAAGGCAGTGTACTAGGCCCTACCTTATTTCTCATTTATATTAATGACCTCTGTAGATTAAAACTTGACAATGGTAAGATTTATTCATATGCGGACGATACTGCTATCGTATTCACGGGTAAATCGTGGGATGAAGTCTACGATACAGCCGAATTTGGACTGTCCAAAGTTGCGAACTGGCTCGAAATAAACTTGCTTACCCTAAACACGTCTAAGACTAAATATATATGTTTTTCCATTAACAAACGGTCACAACCCATAACACACAATCTCAAAATACACAACTGTGGTTTGCGTAACAATTGCACGTGTCCTACTATAGAAAAAGTAGCTAGCACTAAATATTTGGGTGTTATAATAGACCAAACACTTACATGGCATTCACATATAGAAGCACTAATAATAGATTACGAAAACTTATTTGGATCTTTAAGACCCTCAGACATGTCGCAACTCATAAATTATTAAATCAAATATATGCTGCACTAGCCCAATCGATTTTAACATATTGTATACCAGTTTGGGGTGGTACTACGAAAACTAAACTCCTACAACTAGAACGTGGACAACGATCATTAATAAAGGTCATGTACAATAAATCATACAGATTCCCTACAGAAGAACTTTACTCAGTTAGTGGTTTACTAAGTGTTAGAAAGTTATACATTTTAAATTTGTTGTTAACAAAACAGAAAACAACTTTCTACGACTGCAAAATTAGTAATAGACGAGGAAGAGCTTTTGAATTAACTCTAGTCAAGACAAATTTTGCTAGTCACCAATTTAAAAGACAGGCTGGTTATTTATACAATGTAGTCAACAAAAAACTAAACATTTATTCACTGAACTCTAATGAGTTCAAAAAGACAGTTACAGAATGGCTACTGAAACTTAAGTATGATGAAGTCGAGGAATTACTAAAAGTTATTAAATAAATTTTACAAACGCAGACAAACACACACATGTGTACATATACACACGCAAACACACACACACACACACACACGCACACATACACACACACACACACACACACACACACACACACACACACACACACACACACACACACACACACACACACACACAGAATCGCGCGAGTGGGCGCACGCACCCATCAACTCACACTCACATAAAACTCGCACACTTATGTTTATTAACCCTCATTATATAAATTTAAGCTTAGTTTCTTGTATTTCTTTAATTAATCTATTTTGTGTTTATTTAATTCTTGCTATAGAAGAGCGGGGCATCCTGCCACAAGTATATATTTACTTAAAAGGATGTTCCACTTACTCCCATACCTATATAATGTATGATCTTTTTAAAGAAATAAACAATTTTTCATTTTTTCATTTTCATTTTTCAACTACGACGATTAATACTTAATCGAGGTAGATGTATAGAAAGGTAAGGTCACAGCATTCACTTACAATCAGGTGGCTTGTGAATTTGTTTGTCACCCTTACTCCTAGAAAGAAGGAAACATAGTTCCAAACTAGATGAGCTAGAGTGGAAAATTTAACTACTGTAATAAATTAATAAAATTACTTAATCTAATACTAATTTTCAGTGATCGCTACAAAGTATTCTTGGACCTATTCAACTTATCAACGTTCCTACTGCCGCGATCGCTCATCCCCCCTCTGGACGACGGCATGAAACGCAGCCTCAACTTGACGTGGGGGGAGAACATCAAGGAGAACGGCCAAAATGGGCAAAATGGCCTCGAGGCTTCGCTATAGCAAGATACTATTGTTATTTAGATGTATATTCCAATTACTTTATTGAGATGAAGTGTCAAATCGAAATGAAAAGCGAATAAAAGGAATGGTATGTTGTATTTTCAGTTAATTTCGGCATTATCAATATTTTATATGTGTATGACTTGCGATTAAAATAGTTAACTTACCTCCGTATTTTTATTTAATGACATATAATAATAATAATAATTACTTTATTTCGATAACAAGGATCATATTATTACATAATTAGTATAATTAGGTGATAATATAGCCTATTGTTAGCAATTAATTATAATAATGAAGAAAAGTTAAATAAAAATCTTTCAGTAAGAACATAGCTGATTTTGGATTATTTATTTGCCAGTACATCACATCAGCTCCGATTTGCTGATGATATAGTCCTTATGGCAGAATCGCTGGAGGACCTAAGCACTATGATCCATGACCTCAATAGTGTCTCCCAACGGATAGGTCTTTAAGATGAACATGGACAAAACAAAAATCATGTTTAACGTCCATGTCACACCTATGCCGGTAGTTGTTGGGAGCACTAAGCTCGAAGTTGTTGACGAGTATGTTTATCTGGGACAAATATTCCGACTAGGTAAGTCCAACTTGGACCGAAAGGTCAATCGACGGATTCAACTCGGCTGGGCAGCGTTCGGGAAACTACGACACATCTTCTCGTTAGACATACCTCAAAACCTGAAAACGAAATTGTACAACCAGTGCGTGTTGCCAGTGATGACTTACGGATCTGAGACGTGGTCCCTCACTGCTGGCCGTATGAGGAAGCTCAAGGTCGCTCAGCGAGCTATGGAGAGGGCTACGCTCGGGGTTTCTCTGCGTGATAAACTTATAAATGAGGATATCCGCAGTAGAACCAGAGTAACCGACATAGCCCAACGGATTAGTAAGCTGAAATGGCAGTGGACCGGCCGTATAGGTCGAAGAACCGACAACTGATGGGGAAGAAAGGTTCTCGAGTTTCGGCCTCATACCGGTAGGCGAAGTGTAGGGCGACCCGCCACTAGATGGAGTGACGACCTGGTAAGACATGCAGGAAGTCGATGGATGCAGGTAACTCAGGACCGTGCTTTGTGGCATTCCTTGGGATGCCACAAAGGCCTTTGTGGAGGCCTATGTTCAGTAGTGGACTTATAAAGGGCTGTAAGGATGATGAATGGTGATTTGCCAGTACATAAACCATATAACAATGGTTTTTTTTTTAACTCACAGTTCATCTGCTGTGGTTTCTTTTACAGCACCTTTTATACGTTTTTTTAAATTATTTTACTTTAAACATTTTATACTTTGTTTTTATAATTTTTTTTTATTTTTTTTTTATTTTTTTTTTTTTTTTTAAATAATATATAATTAACACTTACATTTTTAAAACTTATTACTAATTATCATGTATTCCGCTACTCTTTTTCAATGTTTTACGCTAATTACATTATCTGTTTGAAGCTACTCGTAATTACATTAACTACTTCATTTTCTTATCTTTTATTATTTACAACGACCCTTTTATTTCTGTTAGTATAATATCCTTCCAATCAACTATTTTTACTGTACAATTTCATTGACATAACTTTACATATTTTCTGTATCTTGATGTGAGTATTTTTTTTCTTTTTTTTTTCCTTGTTATTTGTTAATATATAGGAAACATTTTTTTTACACGTGCTTTTGCACATATTATAATATAGTTTAACTTATTACTAATTATTATGTGTTTCGCTATTAGTACATATATAGTCTGTTTTAATCTACTTCCATTAAACTGATTCATTTCTTTTTCTTCTACTATTTAAAACAATCCTTTTATTTCTGCTAGTATTACTACGTTACTTTGTTCATTTATTACTTTGTGGTTCTAAATGTGAGTATAAAAGTTTTATTATTACTATTTCCCATATCAATAATTGATAATTTATTAATACGAGTATATATTATATATATATATATATATATATATATTGATAATAATAATCAATATTTGTTATTTGTGTTTTGAATTATTCTCTTTGAGAATGATTTCAGTGCGTTGTTTTGCGAATTTTAGAAAGTGAAATCGACTGTCATTGCTGTTAATAGCTTTACATAAGGTTTCCTCTTTTAGCGCAAAGCCCATGCTCGCATGAAAGTCTTGCATAAGCAAATTTCGGACAGTCTAAAAGGATATGCTCTATTGTTTGCGATGTTTGATTATCACAGCTAAAGTAGGGGCTTTGTGACAACTTAAATCTAAACAGGTATGATTTAAAGCCTCCGTGACCTGTCAGAATTTGTGAAATGAAATTGTTCATTTTTACTTTACACATAGTTTTATATGCTTCTCTTATACAAGGAAAGAATTTTCTTGTCGTAGACCCTGTGTTTGATGTGCTGTACCTTTCTTGCCACCTTATAATTGAGTTGTCCCTGATTTGACGCTTTGCAAAGGACAGTGGGAAACAGTCGTAAGTCGGCGCTTGCTTAGACGTCTGCGCTGCTAATTTCGCCAATTCGTCAGCTCTTTCATTCCCTGGAATTCCACAATGAGCTTTAATCCAGAAGAACTTCACCTCGCCTTGGTTGTTACGTATTTCCCCTATATCTTCTAGAATTTCAGCTACCAGAGTGCTAGGATTTGAAAGGCTTTCCAGGGCCGACCGAGAGTCACTCAGTATATTAGACTTACTAAATCCCCGTTTGCTTTTTATGATACTGAATGCCTTCAATATTGCAACTAGTTCCGCCTGGAAAACGCTGCAATGATTACCTAATTTTATTTTTACCTTGTGGGTTTCCCTTCCATTTTCCCAGCAGCTTACAGCGGCCCCAACCTTTCCTGCGATTTTACTACCGTCAGTATAGATAGCAGGCCAGTTGTTTTCTATCATTTCAACATCCTTTTCTGTATATATGTCATTGTAAGTCTCTGGGACACGGAACGCTGGATGTGGAAGGTTAAAAGGACTTATTGGTATGGCAAGTTTTCTCCCTGGTAGTTGCTCAATGGACTTTCCTCTTTTTATTTCGTATATGTCTAGTTGTTCTTGAGCTCTTAAGTCTAGTGGTATAATTCTTGCTAATGCGGCACAGGAAGTTAGCGAAGATGTTCGATGAGCCTTACAAATCATAATACAGAATACTCTCGTTATAGTATCAAGACGTTTGCGTATCTGTATTCTTGATGCTTTGTTTCCCCAGCAAGCTGCCGCGTATAACATTGTAGGCTCTACGACAGTGATGTAAATAGTCCTAAGAATTTCCGAGTTGAGTCCCCATTGAGCTCTTGCTGTTTTTGAAACCTTTTTGTATAGCGCAATAGTTTTTTCTGTGGTGTCTTGTACATGTTTTACAAAATTTAAATTTCTGTCGATGTTCAAGCCGAGAATTTTCAGGTTTTCATTGAATACTATATTGGTATCATTGAGCTTTAAGTTAGGCATTTCATATTTATATTTCTTAGTTATGAGAATAGTTTGCGTTTTATGTGCCGCGAAGCTCATTTTCCTAGAGAAGCCCCAATTAGATATTCTATTTAGCGCTGTGTTGATTTTATTTTCTATTATTGATGCTGTTTTCCCAGTCCCTATTAATATAATATCGTCGGCATAAGCCTGCACGTGTACATTCCAGGTCTCAGCTTCTTGAAGCAGGGAATCCAGCAGGATGTTCCACATTAGTGGTCCGCAGATAGCTCATTGTATGCAACCTTTATCTGTGCTCCTTCCAATTTCTGCGTACCTAAGTGTAATAGATCTGTCAGAGAGATAAATATCTTTAAGTTTTAAGGTTGCTTTATCGATTTCCTTCTTTTGTAATTCAACAATCACTCCAGGCCACCATGCGTTATCGAAAGCACCCTCTATATCGATCGAAACGATTACCGCCATCTCCTTGAATATAACAATGAAAATAAAAATATAACAATGGTTCAGGTACTGATAGTCAACTCCATTGGAGAACATCACTAGGATGCGCTTGGAGCTGGCCCGGATCCTACGTATAAGTAGCGGCACAAAAGTCTTCGTTGCGCATAAGTCGGGCTTATTGCGCATAAGTCGTGCTGGTTGGCTCGTGCGTATCGTTAACACACGCTGATTGGCTCTCCAGTTGCATTCGTGCAATTAAATTCATGCGCGTCCCCTCCACGTTCCGTTTAGCGCTAGACTTGCGTGCCGCGACTTGTACCAGAAATGTAAACCGCTCGCGCTTCAGCGAACATACCCGATGCGCTGCAGAATCGAGGCAAGCCCATTAGCACCCGAAATGCATTATTGGATTGCACGCGCAGGACAATGTACTACTGTTTGAGAGTAGTTAACCCAGAGGGTGCTCGTGTAGAGAGATGTGCAATAAGCTTTAAACAATACGATAATTTTAAACACAATACTTTCAAGAAAAGAGCGTACTCCTTTCTAAAAGGTCAGCTACGCATCTGCAATTCCCCTGGAGTTACTCTGGTTCTACTGCTGATTTTCACTGCGTGATAAACTTCGAAATGAAGATATCAGAGCATGCAGAGCTCGCTGAGCGACCTTGAGCTTCCTCATACGGCCAGCAGTGAAGGAACACGTCTCAGATCCATAAGTCATCACTGGCAACACACACTGGCTGTAGAATCTTGTTTTGAAGTTATTTGAGGTATGCCTGAATAGAAGATGTGTCGTACTCTTCCGAACGCCGCCGTATTGAATCTATCGATTGAACACTCGTTCGAAGTTGGACTTACCTAGTTGGACTATTTGTACCAGGTAAACATACTCGTCAACAACTTCGAGCTTAGTGCTCCCAACAGCTCCCGGAATAGGAGTGACATGTACGTTACACGTGACCTTTGTTTTGTCCATGTTTATCTTCAAACCTACATATCCGCAGAGAGACAATTGAGGTCATGGAGCATAGTAAGCAATTATATCGTTGGAAGGTGAGTGATGTAATCGCTATTGATATGAATACCGTATCCATTCCAGTCCAGTAACTTTAAAACGTCTTCCAATGTTGCC